AGAGAGAGAGAGAGAGAGAGAGAGAGAGAGAGAGAGAGAGAGAGAGAGAGAGAGAGAGAGAGAGAGAGAGAGAGAGAGAGAGAGAGAGAGAGAGAGAGAGAGAGAGAGAGAGAGAGAGAGAGAGAGAGAGAGAGAGAGAGAGAGAGAGAGAGAGAGAGAGAGAGGGCGCAGACAGCGAGATTCCTTTCCCGGAGGAATCAAAGCCACGTGGCTTTTTGGCCTTGTTTTTCACAAGGATTTTGGTCGACAACCTTCCAAGCGAAGACGTCGACAACCAACGTGCGGCCATCCACGCACCGCGGCGCCAGTTCGCGTGCCCAGAACCCCACTCGGCCAGCGCGCGCGCCCCCGCCACGCCCGCGGCGACCCACGGGCCAAACGCCACAGCGCAACCCAACGCAAAAGGAAGAAAGAAAACAGACAGCCCACCAAGGGAGGGATGGCGCACCCCAACGCAACGCACGACAGCCGGAGACTTTTTTTCGCCACAGAATTCCCGCCTGGAGTTGCCTGTCTCGGAAGCGGCACCACCCAAGAGCAACGGTGGACACCCTCACACTCCTGACTCCCTGTCCGCCGCTTCCGCCCCCGCTCGCCCCGACCGCTCCGCCCACCCAGCACTCGGCCGCCTCCGTCGGCCGCCCGCCTCCCCGCGCCGCTCTCCCTCTCTCAGCACCCGCGCGCCCGCCGGCCTTCACCGGCGCTCTCAGCGACGCCACCCGAGCTCTGCTGCCTTGCCCCTGAACCATTGCCGCGCCCGCCGCTCGCTCCGCCTGCGTCAGCGCCGCCACCTGCCTCACCACCGCCGCCCGCTCCGCTCGCCGCAGACACACGACAAGCATGCACGTCATCAAGCGCGACGGACGCCGCGAGCCAGTCATGTTTGACAAGATCACCGCGCGCATCAAGAAGCTGTGCTACGGCTTCGACCCAAAGTACATCGACCCGACGGTCATCACCATCAAGGCGCGGGCCACCACCGACCCACGCCCGGCGAGTGCGAGCCCGCGGCGCCGCCGACCGCCCGCCCCTGGCGCCCGCAGGTGATTCAAGGCGTGTACGACGGCGTCTCCACCACCGCGCTCGACGACCTCGCCGCCGAGACTGCGGCGTACCTGACCACGCAGCACCCTGACTGGTCGAAGCTCGCCGCGAGGTCGCCCCCAGCCCCCCCCCC